TTTAATTAATAAAAAATATTTGTACAGGGTTCTCATTACAGTGGCTTTGTTCTTTATGAAATGATGTGTTTTAAGTTGTGAACAGTAAACTGTAGTAAATGTTAAAACAAATCATTGCTACAAAAAATTGCATGAACAGAAAATTTTCTTCAAAGTTTTTTTTAACATTTTCTTGCTGGTTGAGCACTCCTCCAATCTGTACACATGTTTATGTAGCCTACCAACCGCCATATTGCTTTGCATATACTTCCAAAAGAATGCATGAAATAGCTTTTCATTGCCTCAAAAATAATTTTATGTGGAGGAGCATGCCCCCAGACCTCAGGAGGGAGCTCTTGAATTGTCAGCAGTGTACTCCATGCAGCTAGTCATCTACTCCATGACTTGTTTAGAACCCTGTTTGCATGTTTTGCACATGCACTTTGCAGGCAAACTGTGTGTAGGTGGTGAAAATGAGATGCACTTACTATGTATGTTTGCTCTTACATGTGTGAGAAGTACTCTGCATGCATTGAATATAAGATGTGACAGTTCTTCACTCCTCAATAAGTTTAAAAACTAAATTAAATGGAAACTAATTATTTTGTTCTGCAGATGGTATGATGTGTACAATGTACAAACAGGGCAACACAGTTGATTGACATGTATCTGAAGATGCCAGGTCCTTTCTTATTTTGGTAAGAAACTGATATGATGTGCTAGAGCTATTAATAGATTTAACTTCAAGATAAAACAAAGTGATATACTGAATGGTTGACTGTGCAAGTGACAGTACACTGTACACTGAGTGGCTGGATGACTGACTGACTGACTGATTGATCGATTTACTCTCTGACTTGTTGATAGACTTACTGACAGATTTACTATCACAGACTGGCTAATTGAGTAACTGATTGAATAACTTACAGACAGACAGAAAGACAGACTGGCAGACAGACGGACAGATAGAGAGACTGAGTGATGGACTAGCCTTTTTACTCATCAATTGGCTGACTAACTAGGTTGTTAAGGGGCTGATGGAATGACTCACTCACTCACTAATTGAGTGATGGATCAATTAAATGATTGACTGACTGTCTAATTGGTAACCATTTTATAGTGGAGTGACAGGCTAACTACATGCAAATGACTGACTTTGGGACTTAATGATGCAGACTGTTTGACTGACTAGTTGACTAAGCAACTACAGTATGTGAATTAGAGACTGACTAACGATAGACCAAGTGGTGGTCTGCTCTGATGACTGGATGACACAATTACTGAATAGTTGACTGTGTAACAGACACACTGTGTAACAGGCACACTTTCTGACTTACTGACAGCTCAACTATATGACTGATTGATTGGATTGACTGACTGACTTTTAAATTAATACTGATCAGGTAACAAAGTGGTGCTCTGGATTGATGAGTGGATGACCAACCGACTTTCTTACTGATCAATGGACCAAGTGAGCGTGACTAATTGACTTAGATGCTGACTCTCTGAATGACTAACTGTCAGTGTGAATGATTGATTGAATTGCTTTTGACTGGATGAATTTTAGACTGAAGCATCAGATAGCCATATGATGCACTGTGTGAATAACAGGATTACTGAACGAGTAACTCACTAAACAACCAGTCAAGAGACTTGAGTGCATTGAATTTGTAAGTCAATGACTCCCCAACTGATATAGAAGTGACGGACACACTGGGTGGCTGATTGGCTGGTTTACTACCATACTATATGACTGAGATTGATTGACTGACTGTCTGACTGATGTATTGATTTTCAAACTGACTGAGTGTCTAACTCACTGACTGACTGACTAATAAACCAACTGATTGATTGAATTATTGAGGGACAGTAAAGATAGTCTAATGACTGATTGACCAAACAAACAACTTGTGAATGAACTGGCCACTGAAATAATTAACTTATGTACTGACTGACTGACTCACTGGCCAATCAACTGACTGATTGTCTGACTGACTTATTAAGGGATGGAATCACCGACTCATTGAAAACCAGTAGACTGATTGGTTGGCTATATGACTTGCTGCTGGATGGAATAATGCACTGATTGTTTCACTGACTTGTAAACTGAATCGCTGACTAAATGAGTGACTGACTGAAGAACTGACTTGCTGATCTGGTAACTGACTTCCTGACCTAGTAACTGACTTACCAACCGACTTGATGGCTGGTTGTCTGAGTTACTGAAAAGAGGCACTGACTGTATAGTTGATCAACCTGTTGACTGTTAGGATAAGTAGATGACGGAATGAGTGACCAACTTTTAAGATCAATGGAGGGACTAGTGGACTGAGTGACTAACTAACTGAGTGAGTGACAGACACATTGATTTGCCGCTAATCGATTAACAAGATGATTGACTGGTGGACCGGCTGGTTTTCTGAATGACTGAATGAATGATTGCCTATTTACTGAACTGGCCAGATGATTGTCTCTATGACTGACTGAGTGTTAGAAACACTGACCAGATGATTGTCTCTATGACTGACTGAGTGATAGAAACACTGGCTAGCTGATTAGCAGTTGACTGACTTTTGGACTGGCTGGCTGAATGATGAATGACAGAAGTAAAGACTACATAACTGGTTGAATGACTAGCTGGCTGACTGAACTGGCCTTTGACTGATTGAGTGACCAAGCGATTAGCTGAGAACACGGCAATATTGAAATGTCTTTTTCTTTGTCAACACTTGATCACAATTTTGACAAAAATCACCAACCCATCACTTTTATATAATTTCAAGAAATTATTTGAAGAGCAGTGGATTGATGTAGTGACATGAGTGAACCTGAAAACTAGACCAATAAGAAATGCTTTGAAGATCAATTTATATGTTAAGCTGAATCCTCATGCATTTTGATTGATTCTTACTGATGATCCACTGGGAGACAGACGCATAGATGACGTCACTATTGATAACATTTTAGTTTTTTTATGATAGAAAAATGTGGGAAGAATATCAGTGACACGCCCGACTGCGCCTTGTGTGCCACTTTTTTGTTCTTACCACATTTTGACATCATCTGTGATCTATTACTGAATGGAAACTGGGAATAAATTTGTTGGGTGGATTCTTGTTTGGGATTTTTTATGGGATTTGATTACCTGAACAGGGTCGTTGGGGTAGTGACATGGAGTACAGTGCAAGACAAAGGTAACATAGAGAAATGATTTTTTTTTTCCAATGGCTCCACCTCTTTATTGTTGTTTATTTCCCTGCTGTCGAGATACTGCAACATTGTCGTGTGCTGTGCTATCAAATATTTGTTTTTCTCATTATTTCATTGCAGACGAACAATTGTTCTCTGAAGACATCAAGGAATTGTCGGTGACGTCAACGTGGATTTAAAGTTACAAGTTGATAGTGTTGATATCCTGATTACAGGTTAGAGAGTTGTACATCGTATGTATATCCTAAGGAGAACCAATTTCTGTAAGTTTGGATGATGCGGTTTGCTGCAAGACGCTATCAATTGACCCTCGAATGTGTATCTTATTCTCTTTGTAACATTGCTGAGAGAATTAAACTATTGGTTAGATATTGAAGCGATAGGGGCCTTTTGCAGTCACGATGGCAACGCCGAGGAAAACGGTCGAGAACTTTAATTAAAAAATGTATTTTTTTTTTCCAACGGTGCCACATCTTAGCTTCAGCATATTGTATGTGAGCAGTGTTTAGTTCTAACTTAAATCAATTGCCGTTGGGTTGTCAGTTCTCTAACACGCAAATTTTGGTGATTTCACGTTGAATTCTATGCAGTTGTGACTTTCCACCTTGTGAGAGTTGATCCTAGTCGAACAACGATTCTTAAATTAAACGTTGCTGTTTGGCTTTTGGCTCTTTTCGCTTCAGTGGTGTGCCCAAAATTATAGAATACAGTGGTTTCTTTGTTTTAAAAAAAATTATTAGGCAAGCTTATTGTTTTCCAGTGATGAAATTCTTCGGTTACGTTAATTTTTTTGTCATTTTTTGTTCACTGGTAGTGTGGATGAACGATTTAAAATCAGTTTTGTTATCCTTCGACGGGCTAGGTTTCGCTAAATTTGCTTGGCCGGATACGTCAATAAAATTTTAAAAATTTGCTGAAAATGCTAAGCCATTTAAAGGCCTATTTACACGGTACGACTTTGTCGCATGCGACAAGCTTACGACAGGCCTACGACACGAATTGTATCGTGTAAATCAAACCTACCACTCGCTTACGACTGTCGTGCACGTCACGAAAAATGTCGTAGGATTTTAAAACATGTTTTAAAACGCTGCGACAATCGTAGCCGAAATTGATGGAAAATGACGTATTTTGTGACAAATTTCTACTGAGTAGGGGAGGAAGGTGAAATTTTCTTGCGTCAAAATGGCAGAGGAAGTCGCCTCCGGAAAGTCGAAGACTGCTTCCAAAGCGAAAAATACATTCTCAGATGAGGAAACAGAGAATATGATATCACTGTGGAGCGAGGAAGAGGTTCTTTTCCTTCTCTTGCAAATTATTGAAACAATGACCGCGGCCGAAACGAGTGGAATTGCACGCGATTTTGGCATGTCGTAGGTGAAAATGTCGTGCGCGTGTAAATTGTCCTAAGTCATGTCGTAGGCCTGTCGTAAGCTTGTCGCATGCGACAAAGTTGTACCGTGTAAATAGGCCTTAAGAAATTCACTCGCTGAACGCAACAAATTCGATACTAAGAGTGAATTTCACACTATCCGACGATTTGAATTTAAAAAAAAAAGGAATAAGAGAAACAGAATTCAGAGGATCTGTACATTTATTGTCTTCTGTTTGAGGGTCATCCTGTCATCTAGTTTCTGAAGGTAGCTGTAATTTTAATAACCCTTTTCACTGCAACATTGGTATGGTTATGTTGGTTTGAATTCCACCTCTTTGTTATTAATTTATTTCCCGGTTGTAAGTAGACCGAAAAATTGCCGTGGGCCAATTTAGTCAATTTGTTAATCTTTTTTGTTCTCGAATCTTTTTTTTGGCAGATGAAAAATTTTTTTGATGTACTTTCTTGGGGGAGTTTTTGGTGATGTCGACGTGGATTGAAAGTTTCAAGCTCATATGGTTGGTGTTGTGATTACAGGTTAGAAAGTTATGCATCTCTTATGTATCATTAAGGGAACCAACATATTCACAATGAAACAACTTTGAGAGAATTAATCTAAAGTGAAAAGATAAGAGAGTAATAAGACAAAATCCAGGTAAACTGTACATTTATTACCTTCTGGTTAAGGATCGTCCCCTCACGTAGTTTACAAGAGTAGCTCTCACTTAAGCAAACGCAACTAAAAATCCTTTAATTCTGGGTTTTACTTTTCTGCGATTTAATCGAAGCTTTTATTAAATTTAATTTGTAATTTGTTGGATCATGTCAAAACTATCTGAATGTGTTTTTTTCCCTTTTAATTTTAGTATTGAGAACTTCAAGGAACATAGACGTTAGTTTCCAGCCAGGAAGTCGAGAAAGAAGGAGAGCAAGAGTTGTAAATTTACTCAGATAGCTTTTGCACCGCTCGTACATTAGAGTTGGAAACTGGTTTAGTACATTATGATACCTCATAATAAATAAACCATTATGAAACGTTGTGATTTTTTTAAATAACTGGAGGGAAATAGCAAAAATGTTAAAAATCTCCCGTCCACCATCCCCCACCACACCCACCTCTTATAGACAGTTTTTTTAGCAATGATAAAAGTTGTCTACCTTGTGGTGTTGACATTTACTCCAAAAGTACGAGTTTTATGTAACTAAATGTCTTTTGTAATACACATGCGTATTAAAAGATGTTGTTACCACAAGGTAGACAACTTCTATCATTTCTAAAAAAACTGTCTATGAGAGGCGGGTGTGGTGGGGGATGGTGGCGGATCGACCCCCAATTTTTTCGTTCTTTCCAAAGATGACATCTGTTTTTCCTCGACTTGGTCATTTTCGCGTGAAATCTGTGAGGTGGTAAAGAAAAAAACTTAGGATGAGCCACGGTGTGACGTATGGTACACAATATGACAGCAAAACGCATGCGTTCAAATTGAGCCCCATGAAGACGAGAATTCTTACAGCTTTATATATATTTTCCAATATTTGCAACAACAATTCAAATTTACGTCTCAACAAAAGACTACGAAAACATGTTCACTTTAGGGTGTCATTACACATTTGCAATTAAACTTACCACTCGTCTTTTACGACATTCTCTATGACCATGTAATCTTCACAGTACTTGAGAGAGAAAGAATACATTACACTCTTATAACACTTCCAAACATATATGCAGTTGTAGTCGCAACTCAGTTGATAATACCAAATTACTTTGTAATTACAAGATCTATTTTAAAAGGACAAATAGAGAAAATATGCCTAAATACATTACATCATTACATGTGGCTTTTAACACACTAGAAACCAAATAACCCAAGAGTTATCTTTCTCTGGTTTTACTTCAAATATTTAGAAAATTCTCAACAGAATTTAAAACTTCCACGAAAATTCAAAGCTCTCACATTTCATTAATCTTCTTTGCATAAGCATACCATTTCATTGAACAAATGATTGTGATGTTAAGCCCCCTAAATTTTTTGAAGTTCTGTATTTGCTTTGCTCTGAGTTCATATGGTTTGATTCAGCGAATTAATCCGGAAATCTTGTCGCTCAGTTTAAACCAGCTAACTTGTTTACACAACGATTCAACATAATTTTTGATGTAAAATTATGGAATGCATTAAAACGTTAAACAACGTCTAAACTTACTTTTTCTGTACTTAATTTGTAAGTCAGCTCAGCACAGCACAGCTCAGCTACTTTATCTGAGGTCATCCTAGTTCTCACACATAAAAGGAAGATAGAGGTATAGGTAAATGGAGAGTCAAAACTAAGAGAATAGCAGTATGGCGAACAGCTACAAGAATATTTAACTAAGAGAGTCCACAACGGTTCTTAGAGTAAAATGGCAATGGTTTTACGTACTTCTGTTAATGACGTTCTTGAAAATATTTTTTATTTCGCTTGTTACTTAAATATTAAAAATAGCCGACTTCATCAATAACTTGTCTTTGAACAGGCCACCACGTTTTTATTTTTTACTGATGTTAAAAAAGCTAAAAAAAAGAACGAGACCAACGTTCGAATGAAGTGGAAGAGAATTGTAAAAGTGCGCGCGATACTAACCTAACAATTCAAGAGAAGAAAATCGTTAAGGTGTGCGAGATGTTAACCTAACAATCCAATGAAAAAGAATCCTAAAACTGCGAAAGATATTAACATAAAAATCAAATGAAAAGGAATCCAAAGAGACCGCGCGATACCAACATAACAAAAACGAATCTTTCAAGTGCGCAATCGAATGAAAAAGAATTTTAAAAGTTTACTGGTTACTTACGTAACAATCAGGTGAAAAAGACGTGTAAAGGTCCGCGCGATACTGACATAACAATCGGATAAAAGAGAATCCTTGATGTGCGCAAGGTACGAACGCAATAATCCAATGGAAAAGAATCCTAAAAGTGCTCAAGGTACTAACGTTACAATCAAATGAAAAAAGGATCCTTAACGTCTACGCGATGCTAAAGTCACAATCCAATGAAAAAGATCCCTAAAATGGCGCGAGATACTACCACAACAATCCAATAAAAGTATTTCCTTAAGGTGCGCGAAATATAAACGTAAAAATGAAATGAAAAACAATCCGAAAAAAAAAAGAATCGTAAATGTGCACACGAAACTAGCGTTACAATTAAATGAAAAAATATAAAAGTGCGTAAGATACTAACATAACAACAATATGAAAAAGAATCTCAAAAGTCCGCGCGATACTAACTTAACAACCGAATGTAAAAAAATCCTATTGGTGCGCACGATACGTACATCACAATCGAAAGAAAAAGGATCCTAAAATTCCACAAGACACTAACATAACAATCGGATGAAAAAGAATCCTATAAGAGCACAAGATACCAACATAACAATTGAATGAAAAAGAATCCTAAAAGTGCGTGAGATACTAAAGTAATATCGAATGAAAACGAATCCTAAAGGTGGGCGAGATACTAACGTAATAACTGAATAACAAATAATCTTAAGAGTGTGCGATATGCAGAGAATAATACATGGCGCGCATAGCTATAGAATTTATCTTCGAGTTGAACACGAGAAGAGAAATTCCATATCTACAAGCAACCATTATTTTGTATTCTTTTGTTTATCATCTTAACACAATTATTATAGCCCTTTACTGCAAAGAAAAGTCGATTTCATTGACAAATAAAAAAATAGGATCCACGATCCCCAAAAAAGAGTCGTAAAGGGCGTCGACGATTAGGCTCAATATGAAAAGATGTGTTAAATCATTACAAAAGCAAACAATGAACGTAATTTTCAATCCAAAAATTCTCAGTTATTTATGTTTACCCTCGCGACAGAAGTAATATTTTCAAGTACACGGCCAAAATCGCTTTATGCAAAATCTATCGATTTTCTTTCTCAGCCGCGAGAAATGCTTTTACCAAAGCCATTGAGTAAGTAACTTTCGGTTTTTCTTTGTGCATCTTGGTTTTCTTCCCCTTCTTGGAAATTTTAAACGTCACTGCGAATTTTTTAAGTGTATTACCAGCCATAATTCAAGAAAATTTTAACGAACGACCTTGGAGTGAAGGCTTTGCCATTCATTCATCAACATCACAGAGTGGCACGAAAGGCGAGTGACGTATCAGCAGCTGATCGGCGATATCAAACACAAGTAAAAAATTAACGTATTTTTTCACCTGCGATGTTACGGCTTTTCTCAGAGCTAGAAATCTTTGTATAACAACGTAGTTTATAAGACAAAAAACGTAACAATCGAATAATAAAAATTTAAAAGAGCCCAAGATACTCAGTAACGTAATGGATCAAATGAAAAAAAACTCCAAAAAAGTGCGCGAGATACTAACGTAACAATCGAATGACAAAGAATTCTCAAAGTGTGCAAGATACTAACGTAACAATTGAATGAAAACGAATCCTTTAAGTGCGCAAGATACAAACGTAGCAACCGAATGAATAAGAATCCATAATGTGTGCAAGATACTCACGAAACAATCGAATAAATATGAATCCTTAATGTGAGCAAGATACTAACGTAGCCATCGAATGAAAAATATCCTTTACAGTGCGCAATATACCAACGTAGCAATCGAATGAAAAAGTTTCACCCAACGAATCTCTTCCTTAGTTTCAATCTGTGATGCAAAGACTTGGTCCCCCCCAAAAAAGAAGGAAATGCCTTATTGGTGCGCAATTCTTGGTGCGCAATTATGATGCGCAAGATACTAACGCAACAATTGGATGAAAATGAATCCTACAAGTGCGCGAGATACTAACGTAATAATAAAATGAAGACGAATCCTACACGTGCGCGAGATACTAACGTAATAATAAAATAAAAACGAGTCCTGCAAGTGCGCGAGATACTAACGTAATAATAAAAAAAAAAACGAATCCCGCAAGTGCGCGAGATACTAACGTAATAATAAAATAAAAACGAATCTTACAAGTGCGCGAGATACTAACGTAATAATAAAATAAAAACAAATCCTACAAGTGCACGAGATACTAACGTAACTATCGAGTGAAAAAGATTCTTAAAAGTGCGCGAGATACTGACTTAACTATCGAATGAAAAATAATTCTTAACGTGTGCTGGATATTAACGCAATGAATGAATGAAAAAAAATCCAAAAAGTGCGCAAGATACTAACGTAACAATCGAATGACAAAGAATGCTGAAGGTGTGCAAAATATATGCTAACGAAACAATTGAATGAAAATGAATACTAAAAGTGCGCGAGACACTAACGTAACAATAGAATAAAAATGAGTCCTAAAACTATGCGAAATACTAACTTAACCATCGTATGAAAAAGATTCTTAAAAATGCTCGAGATACTAACGCAACAATCAAATTAAAAAGAATCCTAAAGATGTGCTGGATTCTAACGTAACCATCGAATGACAAAAAAGCCAAAAAGTGTGCAAGATACCAATGTAACAATCGAATAAAAAAGAATGCTTTAGGTGTGCAAAATACTAACGCAACAATTGAATAAAAATGAATCAAAAAAGTGCGCAAGATATTAACGCAACCATCAAATGAAAACGATTCTTTAAATTGCGTAATATACCAACTTTGAACGTAGCAATCGAATGAAAAAGAATTCTTATGGTGCGCAATATACCAACGTAACAATTGAATGAAAATGAATCCTAACAGTGCGCGAAGCTAAAGTAACAATTGGATGAAAATAAATCCTAACAGTGCGCGGGATTCTAACGTAACAATCGAATAAAAAGAATTCTTAAGGTGCGTAAGATGCTGACGTAACAATCAAATAACAATGGAATGAAAACGAATCCTAAAGGTCAGCGCGATGTTAACGTAACAATTTAATGAAAGAGAATCCTACAAGCGCGCGGGATACTTACGTAATAGTAAAACAAAAACGAATCCTAAAAGTGCGCAATAGACTAATGTAGCAATCGAAAGAAAAAGAATCATTGAAGTGTGCCAGATACTAACGTAACACTCGAATGACAAAGAATCCTCAAGG